AATCTTCAATTTCCTCATCTTTGGTTTTGGTAGTTGGTGCATAAGTTTGAATAACAGTTGTATTAACCGGTCTTCCTTGTAGGGGTGTGGATGTTATCTTATCACTGGCAGCATTGTATTTCAGGACAGATCCTGAAACATCCTTTGTGATGATGAATGCCACGTCATTCCTCTTCAGATTGTCATTCCTGGCATAGTAGACCACATGGTGCTCGGATTCAAAATGGCCAAAATCAGTCCATTTCAGCTCACTAAAGTCTAGGATATCAATCTTTATGCATGCCATTTCATTTTCGACAACTTCCAATTTTCCTAGATTCATGCTTCATACATTCCATTTTCCAATTTTTAATGGATGTTCACAGCTGTTTCTCCTCAAGTTGAGTCGTGCCACGTCAGCAAATGGAGGTCTTGAAAGCTTTACCTTATCCATATCATTAAGGTTGGTTCTACTCTGATGATGCATCTCTTTCCTGGCCTTTTTTGAGAGCCTTCCAACCTAAGTGGCTTATCCTCCTGCACTGTATTGGGATGTTTCTGGGCTATTCATAAAGTTGTACAGTAATGTATCACACAGTGTTTCTCCGCTATTTATAAGGTTTTCCCTGGCCAATTCTTTGAGAAGTGGATGGCCTCCTCCTTCTTCCTAGTCTGTTTCAGTCTGTAAGCTGTTGAAACCTGTGCACCATGTACAACCCTGTCAGCACTTAAAATACCAGTGGCACAACCTCAAGCCTTACAGCAACATGCCGCCACAGTAGGGCAAACTGACAGACAAGTTTGTCTCCTTAGCTGTTCAAAACCTCGCTACCCTCCCCTTACATAGATTCCTGCTTCTTTCCCACCACTTGGGAGGGGCACGGTCTGGGGCCCCAGCCTTACCTGGATCCCTGCCTCTGCTTCCTCACTCTGTCTATTCCATATATTATGCCTATATTTCAAAAAAGCACAACACAGTAAAGGTTTCTCATGACTAATTCTCCAACATCTACATGATAGCCCCATCCAACCTTTTTGTGTAGAGGAGCAGATTTTACTTCCAATCAAAAATAGGTGCAAAGTAGTTACACCACCAGATACTGGTGAAGATACAGAGAAAATGGGTGACTCGCACATTGCTAAAGGAAATGTAAAATGTAACAGCCACTTTGGAGAATAGTTTGGCAGTTTTTTTAAAAAACTAATCACTCATTTACCATACAATCCAGCCACTGCTCCTGGGCGTATCTCCCAGAAGAATGAAAATATATCCACATAAAAACCTACACACAATTATACATTAAAAAAACACAAACTTACTGCTGTGGGGTCTATTCAACTCATAGAGACCCCTCCTTGCGTTTCCGAGGCTGTATCTCTATGGAAGTAGATTGCCCAGTCTTTCTTCCAAGGAGTGGCTGGTGGGTTTGAATCACCAGCCTTCTGGTTAGGAGTCATATGCATCACCAGAGCTCCCACAATAGCAGGTATACTTTTAATAGTCAAGAACTAGAAACAATCGAAATGTCCTATAATAGGTGAATGGTTAAACAAACTGTGGTATGTTCATCCATGGAATACTATTCAGCAATTAAAAAAAAAAAAAGAAGAACTATTAATACACAAAGGAGCTCTGGTAGTGCTATGGTAAGGCATTCAGCTGCTAACCAAGAGGTCGGCAGTTCGAATCCACCAGCTGCTCAGCAGAAGAAAGATGAGGTAGTCTGCTTCCACAGATTTACAGCCTTTGAAACCCTATGGGGGTCTCTGAGTTAGAATTTACTTGATGGCAGTGGGATTAATAAACACATTCTGAATGAAGAAAATAAAAAATTCATTCTAAAAAGGTAACATACTATGTGATTCCATTCATCTAGCATCCTAGAAATGACAAAAATATAGATAATCCACCCGCTGCCAGGGAGTCAGATCCGACTCATAGTGACCCTTCCTTGGGTTTCCAAGGCAATAGCACTACGGAAGTAGATTGCCCAACCTTCCTTCTGAGGAGTGGCTGGTGGGTTTGAACAACTAGCCTTCTGGTTAGTAGTCAAATGCCTTAGGCACTACACCACCAGAGCTCCTACAAATATAGATAAGGAGAAGAAATTGGTGCTTATTATGTGAGGGAGAGTGAGGTGTGAGGGAGATCTTTACAATTGTGGAAGAGTTCTTTATCTTGAATGCAATGGTAAAAACCAAACCCACTGGCATCAAGTCAGGTCTGACTCATAGTGACCCCTCTTTGAGTTTCCGAAGCAGTATCACTACAGAAGTAGATTGCCCAACCTTCCTTCCAGGGAGTGGCTGGTGGATTTGAACTGCCAGCCTTCTGGAAGGAAGGTTGGGCAATCTACTTCTGTAGTGATACTGCCTTGGAATCTACTTCTGTAGTGATACTGCCTCGGAAACTCAGATGCCTTAGACACTGCGCCACCAGAGCTCCTGCAATGGTAGTTACACAAATCTACACATGTGATAAAATGACATAGAACCATTCATGTTGTACCAATGTAAGTTACTTGGTTTCGATCCTGTACTATACAATACTGTTGTAGATAAAATTATTGGAAGAAACCAGGTAAAGGATATATAGGATCTCTCTGTTCTGTCCTTGAAACTTCCTGTGAATCTATAATTATTTTTAAAATTAAAAAATAAATAAAAATGGGTGCAAAGTTAAGTATGTGATACCCCCTGGGATAATTTTCTACATTCTGTACAACAAAATAATACTTTCTCATTTGGCCCCAAAACTAAGCAAAGGTCATAATTTTACAGGGCATCTTAAAAACAAAGAAAAATAAAACTACTACACATGACACTATATATTTTGTCCTCATCTCAGATTCTAATAATGTTCTCTCACTCATTTTCATTCTGCCTTCTAGCCTTCCAAGCTTCATAACTTGAGACTATCTCAGTGACCTACATTACACTCTAAAAAGCAGTAGCTCCCTATGTCTTTTTCCAACATGACCATGGAATTTTACATTCTCTCAGAAAAATGTCAACTAGGTATTAGATTAGGCGCTCTGGTAGCATAGTGCCTAAGGCACTTGACTGCTAACCAGGAGGCTGGTAGTTCAAACCCACCAGCCACTCCTCGGAAGGAAGGTTGGGCAATCTACTTCCGTAGTGATACTGCCTTGGAAATCCAAGGAGGGGTCGCTATGAGTTGAGACTGACCTGATGGCACATAACAAAGGTATTTGTTGTTGTTGTTGTTATGTGCCCTCGAGTCGGCCCCGACTCATAGCGACCCCCCCTTGGGTTTCTGAGGCAGTATCACTACGGAAGTAGGATTGCCCAACCTTCCTTCCGAGGAGTGGCTGGTGGGTTTGAACCGCCAGCCGTCTGGTTAGCAGGCAAGTGTCTTAGCCTCTATGCTACCAGAGCTCCCAACAAAGGTATTAGATTATCTAATTTCAGTAATTCAGAGTGTATATGAATTGACTGATTAGGCCTTCCTGAAAAGTATATGCTAAAAAATAAATTCTTCAGCCCAAATTAGTATCAAATTATTAAGAATTAGAATGCAAGAGACAATTCTGAGTAGAAAAGCCTACCAAATTCTCTTCACCTTTTGAGGAGCCATGTTTTACCCATTCCTCACAGCACACCATCCCTCTCACAACATCCCAGGCCAGCTTCAGCAACCTTATTTCATAAAATAAACATCTCAGGAAAACAACCAATATTTGCAAAGTACTTTGGCTTACAAAAATCTTTTACACAAGGGATCTCATTTGATGATACTCATTAGACTCTTTAGACTACATAAACCAAAACCAGACCCAACTCATTGCCATTGTATTGATTTGACCTCACAGCAACTCCACAAGACAGAGTCAAACTGCCCCCATAGGGTTTCCAAGGTTATAAATATTTATGGAAGCAGATTGCCTCATCTTTCTTCCATGGAGCGCCTGGTGGGTTCAAACTGTTGACCTTTTGGTTAACAGCCCAACTCTTTAACCACAGTGCCACTAGAGCTCCTAGACTACATAAAACCATCCCTGGTTTTAAGAAGAGGTAACTTGAAGTAACTTCTCAAAGTCACATAGGTGAATATTAAGTTGCAGAATAGGAAATATAATTCAGAATTCCTGATTCCCCATCCCAAGAAGTATCAAAATATTTACTCAAACCAAATACCCTATTCCTAATATGGTTATAGACATTTTATAACAGTAAATTAATGCTATAAGAATAGCTGATCCAATTGAACTGATCCCAAGATTTGCAATGTCTGATGACTCTAAATAGAACTTGCAAAATATAAAGTCAGGCTGCACCTATATCTGATTGAAGAAATCAGCTAGACCAGCAAGAAATATAAAAGAATGGAAACTGTTTACTTCAGCTAACCTTACTGATTTATACAACTCACCAATCACAGTTTGTGAAGAGAGAGCACAATCATGGTGCTATAACCAAGCATGAATTCAAAGAAATTATATTGGACCCCCAGGTCTCCAACATACTGGTCACAGGAAAGAACACCAAAGCAAGGGGAAACCTAGGAAACCTCAAGGAATCTTCCATGACACACCAGTCTCCTGATTCTCCTCCCAATCCATTCTTTCCAGAGGAAGAATAGATGAGGACTTGCCAACTCTTGATCAAAATACAAGGCTAAAATAAAAATAATAATAAAAAAAGCTAACTGAAGAAGCTCAAAAATTAATCTTGTGAAAAAAGTACTTTTGATGGCAACATACAGAAATGCAGAGTAGATGACCCAGGGACATAAATCACAATAGAAAAGTCCTCAGACCAAAAGTTTGAGAATCACACAATATACAAATTAACAAACAGAAAATGAGTTTTACTGCAAAAAGTATAAGAGCCTATACGATAAAACTCATGATCTTTGAACTGATAAACATTACAGCAACAGTTATTATTAACAGTCTGCTTTTTGATTCAAAGGAGTTCCTAGCTCTATTTGGCCCCCTTTCTTACAGGATTAGGATGCCATAGAACGAACAAAAAGGAAGCTTTTATAGAAGTCTTACCAACACGATATTTTAGTTCTGTGACTGTTTCGCCTTCTCTGCTCAATTCTGTTATTTCACATGTGTAGTTCCCAAGGACAGCATCACTCTTTTTCATCTTCAAAGAGGCATTTCCACGTAGAAGTTCTGATAGTGTGATTTCTGCACTACTAAAATTACTGCTGACATTAGTCAAAGCTAGAGCTCCATCATAGATCAAAATGTCTTTTCCTCTAAATTTCCACTTTAGATACAGTTCTCTAAGGGTACTCGTTTCCACATTTTTAGCAAAACACGGGAGGAGAACAGTGTCATTGCAAATGGTGAGTTCTACATATTTGATTGTATTAAATATTATTTGAGCTGAACCTGAAAAAGAAAAAGAGAAAAAATGTTTCATTTAACTTGTAGAATTTTATGCTATGAGATCTTAGATACGCTACATATCCTTAAAATAATGAGCAATGCTTCCACTGTTCACTTAAGTAAGCAATGCACTTATACAGAAAAGAAGATAGGCAAGGTAAAAACCAGAAACAAATTAATTTAACATCAACTTGCACAACTGGTAGACATCACTATAACTTTCCTTTAGTCATACTCAGTAATACAAAGTATACATTACCATGCATCTTGGGAATAAATTCACCCCAAGTGCATTGGAAAATACAGGTATAGTATCTTTCTTTTGATACTCTGAAATAATTATAATTGCTTACTGACTACACAGAGAAAAGTATTAACCTTACATGGGAAAATTTTAAGTAGAAAATCAACCCAAATAGAACACTCACTCTCAATTTCTATATACCTCCTCTAAACAGAACTTACTAACGCTGATACAAAATTTACCTCTATCCTTATGCTGCATTTACAAGAAAGTGGCAAGTTCTCCAGTACTTTAATATACAAAACAATCTGGTGAATCACATTACATCTTTCCACTAGGACAATCTTAGAACATTGACAAGAAAAAAATACTCTGTAGCTGTTTTCTCATTCCAAAATACCAGACACTTTATATGCAAGTGCTATAAAGGGTATATAACCAACTAACTACATAGGTAAAACAGTTAATGCAACAAACCTTTATCAGTGGTCCTTTAACGCCTGAAGAATATGGAAAACAAGTGCAACTTTCCTACATCCTTGCACATTTTATATGAATGATGACAGACTGCATTAACTTTCCCAATCCTTCTTTTATAAGACCCCAAATGGTAGTTTGTCCTGTTGAGAAGAATTAATAGCATATACTCTACTTAGTAGCAGAGCCTGCTCTTGGTTTCAACTTGTTTCTTAGCGGTATTTTGAGGAATTTATGGCTTTGGGGAGGAAGGAATACTTGCAATACATGTTTAGAAAGCATTGCTCTATAATGTCAATGAAATGTGATGGTGGTTTTTCCCTCAAAAAGCAAAGCACCAACATATGTAAATAAAAGTATCAACTTTGTTAATAATTCATCCTTAAAATTGCTACCTTTTTACATAAACTGGAAAAACAAAACTAAGGACATAGAATGTTCTTATTCTAGGATAATTACTATTCAGTATATACCCCTTGAATTAAGTGCTAGGATGCATAGCAGAATGTGAACTGGACAATGTCCTGAAAGTCTGAGTCCAAATTCTGCATCTGTTACTTTTTGGTACATGGCTTTGAGCAACTCATTTCACTTTTCTATACCTTAGTTTACTCTCTGTAAGCAAGAGGGTCAAGAGGAACATCAGGCCACTACACAAACACTAAGAAGCTCTGGTGATGCAGTAGTTTAGGCATTTGGCTGCTAACCAAAAGGTCAGAAGTTTGAACCCACCAGCTGAAATATGAGGTAATCTGTTTCCATAAAGATTTATAGCCTTGGAAACCCTATAGGGCAGTTCTCCATCCTATAGTCAGTCACTATGAGTCAGAATTGACTTATAATCAATAGCAGTGGTTTTGGTTTGGGTTTGACACAAGCACTACACGGACTGCCAAAATATGAACAAATCTGTCTTCAAAGAAGTATAGCCAGAATGCTCCTTAGAAGCAAGGATGGTAAGACTTCATCTCACATACTTTGGACATGTTACCAAGAGGGACCAGTCCTGGAGAAGAACATCATGTTTGGTAAAGTAAAGAGTCAGTGAAAATAAGCAAGACTTTCAACAAGATGGAGTTGACACAGTGGTTGCAACAGTGGGTTTAAAGACAGCAACCACTGAAAGGATAGCTTAGAACCAGGAAGTGTTTCATTCTGTTGTGCATGGGATCACTATGAGTTGGGGCCAACTTGATGGTACCTAACAACAACAACAACAGAATTGTGGTGATCATCAAAAGAGAAAAACATATGGACAGGGGCTCTGTGAAAATACTGTGTTATCAAAATGTATGTTGCTGTTGTTATGTGCCATCGAGTTGGACCTGATTCATAGCAACCCCTCCCTGGGTTTCTGAGGCAGTATCACTACAGAAGTAGATTCCCCAACCTTCCTTCCGAGGAGTGGCTGGTGGGTTTGAACCGCCAACCTTCTGGTTAGCAGTCAAGCGCCTTAGGCATATGCTACCAGAGCTCCCATGAAAATGTTTAGTGATAATATAAAAAGTAAACAATAAGGTTTTTAATGTAATGATTTGGATCTTCTCTGACTGGCAGGTTATAGTTATAGTTCTGGTAATTTGAACTCTGAACCAATCTTGTAGGTGTCCATGGCTCACCTATTCCCAGTTCTCTAAATTTATAGCCACCAAAATATTAGGAAACCTCAGGCCAAAACTAGACTTTCAACTGTATTCTCTCTCCAAAACCTTGGAGTTGTGAATTACTCATTGTCTTTACTAACCTCTAGATATCAGCAGGAATTATTTCCCCTAGGAGAGAAATTTTGAGGGGGCAACTGTGTGTACAAGAAGGAGAGAAGAAAAGGGTCATGGTGTTGGAATTAAAAAAAAAAGGACAGTGTCAGAAAATATGGTGAAAGATTTTTGCAATGGATAAAAAGATTACTGGGTGTTCTTTCAATGGAAAGCTGGGCCTTGTCTAAAAGACCCTAAGGAATTATCTGATTTTGTAGGTATTTGTGTCTTTCACTGTCTTTGACTAGACTTATTTTACAATTCTTAAATTGTAGAAAATTGAAGGTAACACAAATGATTCATGTGCATGGAAATACAAATAAACTTTGTTTTGCAATTGATATCCATCCTGCGGAAGAATTGAGTCCAAAACACTACATTTTACTGACCTGGGCATACTGACCACTTTGACATGTGTTAGTAAATTCATTTCCACATTCCTAATATTTACCAATGTGTCTATCCTTCTGCTTTTCTTTTGAACAGGTTTTACCATACTACGACAGTTTTACTTCTATTAGTAAATTAATTTCAGCAATCCTGAATGCCTATAAACATGCCTTTTCTTCTAATTTTCTTTTGAAAGAGTTTTTACCATATTACCGGTTCACTCATTAATGAATGAAATAAAATCTTTGACACGTGTTTATTTTATATTTATGAGTCATAATTCTATCTTTTAAAAATTACCCTTTAATAAAGAAAGATACAAGAGCTCAGCTATCCATTTGAATTTTAATTTTTAGAAGGTTCCAGGGTAAGTAAGAAGTAGTCTGCAAACACTCCACAATCTCATAACTTATCTCTAGAGAATTAATTTTCAAAGGAATGCAGGAAGCACTAATTGCACTGAATTATTTGTTGTAATAATGAATTTTTATAGCTGAAGTTACTGAAGTAGGATAAATGCTATCAATAAAATTCAAACTAAAATTGACCTGGATAACCAGAATATGAATAATCCTTCCACTATTAATAAATAAGGGGTAGTCCAAAAATGGTCACTTCCACTGTTAACTAAAATTTTACCCTTCATAAACGTTTATAAGAAATCATTAAGTAGCAAAGTTATCTGACTTGTGTTTTTTTTTTTTTTTTTAATTTTGCCTACTGTCTTCTGATGAAACAGCAAAGTGAAGGAAAGATAAAAAAATACAGAGAGTAAATAAAAGAACACAGATCATTAACATGAATTAAAAAAATTCTGAATAATCAAGATATCCATAAAGCAGTTTAAATAGGATAGGAATAGATAAATTTCATCAGCAGTGGTGCCAGAGGACATATAAATTAGCAAATGAGATGAAAAAGTTATTTTACATCAAATGCCAAAAATATTGGCCTTTACAACTTCTGTGAATACAGACCACCAAAACCCACACCACAGTCCAGAAAATAGCTATGCAGTTGTAGAAAAAGCTTAATATATGGCAGTCACAAAAGATATGTCCAGCTCAGAAATTTAAAAATGCAACAAGTATTTGTTGAGAATTACTCCACACAGAACATTATGATAGTACATGGGATACAATGGAGAAAATAAAATGTTAGAATTACTTTTTAGGAGCATACAATTCTCATAGGAGAGAAACACAGTTTTCATAATACTAGGTCTTAAGCCCATGGAAGCAGCAGTCAAGAAATCAAACAACATATTGCAATGGTCAAATGTGCTGCAAAAGACCTTTTTAAAGTATTAAAGAGCAAAGATGTCACTTTGAAGACTAAGGTGTGCCTTACCCAAGCTATTGTATTTTCAGTTGCCTCATATGCATGCAAAAGCTGGACAATGAAGACAAATTGAGGCATTTAAATTATGGTGTTAGTGAAGAATACTGAATACACCATGGACCTCAAGAAAAATGAACAAATATGCCTTGGATGATGGATAGCCAGAATGCTCCTTAGAAGTGAGAATGGCCAGACTTTGCCTTACCTACTTTGGTCATGTTGTCAGAAGGGACTAGTCCCTTGAGAAGGATACCATGCTTGGTAAAGTGCATGGTAAGCAAAAAAGGGGAAGACCCTCAATGAGATGAACTGACACAATGGCTATAAAAATGGGCTCAAGCATAGCAATGACTTTGAGGATGGCACTGGACTGGGCAGTGTTTCATTCTTTTGTACACAGCGTTGTTATGAGTCAAAACTGGCCTGACAATACCTAACAACAAGTGCTATCATTCCTGTATGAACAAATGAATAGGCAGAAGAGTAATCTGTCTTACAGATTTCTAAGAAAGTTTGTGTTGCTAGTGGGGGAAAAACAGAAGATGACTGTCATAATCCCTGCCCCATACAGGCCTTCAATCTTTACATGTTCCATGTAAATTTTCTCTTCATTTTAACAACTCTTAAACTACTTTCCTTTTGCCCCTTATCCCATACTCTCCACAGGAGCCCTTTCTGACTACCTCTTAACTCAAATTAAGTACTTCAGATAACAAGCTGTAGCTCCCTGTACTCCTCCATCTAGGAACTTAACCTTCAACTTCAACTATCCATATCTATTCTCCTTCTTTTTCCCCTCTTCAGATCAGAATATCTTCACATGTG